AAAAATTCGTTTATCTGGGAAACTAATAGAACTAAATTCTTAAAATTTTGCACAAAGAACTTTAACATCCATATAAACATTTTGGGTAAAAAATTGGCGGACTACCCATGAGGGGAGCGGCACCTCCCATATTAATTAAAAACAAAAATTCGTTTATCTGGGAAACTAATAGAACTAAATTCTTAAAATTTTGCACGAAGAACTTAATATTCATCTGAACATTTTTAAGGAAAAAAGAGCGGACTTTCATCTGGGGGGCTTGGAGCCCCCATATGAATAAAATAGAAAAATTCGTATATCTGAGAAACAATTAGAGCTAGAATCATTAAATTTTACTTGAAGAACTTTGACATTCACCTGAACATTTAGAATATAACGGGCGGACTTCCAATGGGTTACTTGGTACCTCCCATATGAATTAAATACAAAATTTCGTTTAACTGGGAAACTAATAGAACTAGATTCTTCAAATTTTGAACAAATTATTTTAATAATCATCTGAATATTTTGGAGGAAAAAGGGCGGACTTTCATCCGGGGGGCTTGAAGCCCCCACATGAATTAAATTCGTATATCTGAGAAACTATTAGAGCTAGAATCTTAAAATTTTACATGAAGAACTTTGACATTCATGTGAACATTTAGAGAATAACGGGCGGACTTTCAATGGGGGGCTTGGCACCACATATATGAATTAAATACAAAATTTCGTGCATCTTGGAAACTCTTATATTATTCAAATTTTTTGTAGATAGATAGAAATTGGCGATAGATAGAAACTGGCGAACTTGCAATAATTTGCTTGACATCTTTTATATGTAACATATAATAAATCTGGTATTTATTTATACATATTCCTTTTAGGGTAGCAAAGCACACTGGGTATAGCTAGTTAATAATAAATATACATACAAATATCAGGGAGGCTTAATTTGAATTACAAAAAGTACCATTCCATTTCAGTTCAGCTTTAATAAATTTGGTACCAAACTTGTACTTAAAACGTACCAAAAACACATATTACAACAATTTCAACTTTTAATCTTCTTGAAAATATTAGTAAATTCCCTTCTTTATGTATATTTGCATGCACTGGCATGCATAAATAAGTTTAAGTAAAAGAGCTGTTCGATACTAAATATTTCTATATGATACAATTTATTGGCAATATTAAGTATTTTCAGTTATTTACTACAACGAAGAAAACAAATAACTACTATAAATACATATACATACATATCTAATGTAAGATGCAAATCTGAGTTTACATAAATAAATAATATATTGTATATTTGCTTACCCAGCAAAAACAACAACAATTGAAGTCAAAACTTCGAAAGTTCCAGAATCACTTTTTGAGACCGTAGTCTGACATGCCCGACCATATCAGTTTCTAAACTTTTTCATGTCGAAATTTTTACTTCTTCTTTTTGCTTATTTGGAACTTATAGTTTGCTGGGTTAATATACATAAATACATACATCTGTAAAGTTATATAATTTACAGAGAATTTACTTAAAATTAGGTAGAAAAACTATTTAGTTTCATAAAGTAGTTTTTGTTTATCAAAATTAAAATTAGTTACCTCTGAAGAAAATCTCGAAGAAATTTTGATATTAAATTTTACACAGACAAACTTGATGATTAAAATCAGCTTTGAATGAAAATTGTATATAAGAATTACGTCTAACAGGATTTATTGTTGCAACATAAGAAATCATTGATAACTATGTTTACAAGGACACAAAAAAACTCAAAAAGTGATAAGTGACAAAATTGTCTAAACTACTTTTTAATTTTTGGCCTTTTTCGTATAATAGTTAACCTTTTGGGCTCTGTGATACTGGATCTCCTTTCCTCTTTGGGGTGTTTGTGGCCGTAATGTTCAGTTCCTCTGAGTGTTAGCGTCTATTAATGCAGAATTCTATCTATCTATCTATCTATCTATCTATCTATCTATCTATCTATCTATCTATCTATCTATCTATCTATCTATCTATCTATCTATCTATTCTATCTATCTATCTATATATCTATCTATCTATCTATCTATCTATCTATCTATCTATCTATCTATCTAGCTATCTATCTATCTATCTATCTATCTATCTATCTATCTATCTATCTATCTATCTATCTATCTATCTATCTATCTATCTACTATCTATCTATCTATCTATCTATCTATCTATCTATCTATCTATCTATCTATCTATCTATCTATCTATCTATCTATCTATCTATCTATCTATCTATCTATCTATCTATCTATCTATCTATCTATCTATCTATCTATCTATCTATCTATCTATCTATCTATCTATCTATCTATCTATCTATCTATTCTATCTATCTATCTATCTATCTATCTATCTATCTATCTATCTATCTATCTATCTATCTATCTATCTATCTATCTTCTATCTATCTATCTATCTATCTATCTATCTATCTATCATATTCTATCTATCTATCTATCTACTATCTATCTATCTATCTATCTATCTATTCTATCTATCTAATCTATCTATCTATTATCTATATCTATCTACTATCTATCTATCTATTATCTATCTATCTATCTATCTATCTATCTATCCTATCTATCTATCTAATCTATCTCTATCTATCTATCTATCTATCTATCTATCTATCTATCTATCTATCTATCTATCTATCTATCTATCTATCTATCTATCTATCTATCTATCTATCTATCTATCTATCTATCTATCTATCTATCTATCTATGTGCGAGCCGTCTAAACAATACTTTTTTGCATTTTATACCCTACATAACTCTTGTGAGGAGGGTATTATTGCATTTGTCCTTAAAGTATACCCATCGACTCAGAATCAATTTCTGAGTCGATTAAGACAGGCCGTAATTTTCAAAATATTTTGATAAAATTTGGACTACTCCAAATTATGACTAGGTGACTATCAAACAACTTGACCTTCCGATTTGGGCTTCTTAGCTCATAACTACGTCAAATATACCTCCATCTCGCCAAGAATTGGCACACCTAAGTTTTATTTGACCCTAGCCCCCACACAAACATACCTTAATATTTTCTTAAACGTCCACAATTGAGTTATAACTAATTTTTTAAAATATATCCCTTCTCAAAATTTGAAAAGGATCATCCTATATTTGAACTTTACTCTTTTATAAAGGTTCTTTTTCATCAATAAATTGCTTAATAATACATAATAATTTATAAAATATACTCATGATGTAGGGTGTTATATGGCGGGCAATGCCCGTCTATACTTTCCTACTTGCTTGTATGTATGTATATAATTATTTGTTGCAAATATTAGTCTATCTAATAAAACTGTAGCTCAGCCAATCTCATTGTTGTTGTTTACAACAGTGCACACAGGTAAGGTAAGTTTTTTTCTATATTTTCAACATTACATGTACAGGTGATAGACAATTTGCTCCGGAAACTTAATCAATATTATGTGAAAGATAAGTGTATTGCACTTATATATACAACAATGTGAAAATATACATATGTATGACTATGTATGTAATACACAAATTATATATAGAAATATGCATGTAAGTTAGTGATGTGTAAACCGCAAGCAATAATGTAAAATCAATTTAAAATGCTCACTCAAATATATTATTTTAATTAAGATAGGGAATATGAGTGTGAATACACATGTAGTTAATATGGTGGTACTAATTTTTACCCCACAGTTTAGGAGAGGGTAATAAATCTAATTTACATTGAAGATTTTAAGAAAATATTTTAGTTTCACATTTTTGTATGATATTCGTTTCAATTAAATGTTATATTGTAAAGTAAATGGAATTCAATTGATTACTTTACATATCCTAAGTAATCTAAAAGGTGGACAGACAAGCTTGAAGAAATTTAGAGAGTTCTCATTGATTTTCAATCTGTTCAGATTTAGAAAAGTACTTATTAGTTTACTATTTCCATGACCATCTACAGATTTGCTGGGCATAGGAAAAGGTTCATTTGTTCGTTAAGTTCTTACAAATTGAATCAAATTTGTTATTGATTAGAGAAAGCTGGGTGTAAAATTTAGTAATGAACAAGTAGATAAAATACTTAGAACCATATAATTAAACAAAGTCGATAATAGCAAATGTGTTATATTACACATGTGTATAAATTTACATACAAGGAAAGATGAAACTTTTAATACATAATTTAACTTTTAAAGTAATTTGTAAAAATATTTCTAGTTTTGTAATATATTAAATATAGAGGAAATAAACTAATTTTATCATATAAATTAAATTTTAAATATTTCCTTAGAATTTAATATTAATTAAGATCCCATAAAGAATTTTCATTGACAATTGTTTGAAATATGTTTACATGTCCTAGTTAAAGGATAATTACTCAATATGGTTAAGCACAAATACAATCAACAACACACAGTGGTATTGGTTTAAGTTTAATGTTTATATTACAAATGTTTAGTTTTTTTTGTGATCGTACTTTTCAAAACTGAACATGAAAACCTCAGATTTCACAACTGCAACTCAATACAAAAACTAATCGGCTCCAACTGCTTTTCTCTACGATATCCCTAATAGTTCATGAGATGCCGCATCCATGAAAACAATAATTGAAAATACTGTGCAGAACCAAGTAGGGTGGTTCATGTTCTAAATTTTTAAAAATCTAAAACAAATGTTCTACTAATTCGTGTTGTATATTCTCTGAAAAATGTTTAGATCTTGCGAAAAACTCCCTAATATATCATATACTACAGATATCCCTTTCACTCACAATTCAATTTTCCTACCTAACATATCAAATAAAAGATGAAGAAGAAAAAACAAACTAAACTAAACTTTTCTCATGCATTTTAGTTGTTTAAAACATCGATTCCTGCAGCCATATCATCGATATGTAAAACTTTTCAATTAAACTTACAACAACAGTACAACGTATGGAAAAAAATTAAAAAAAAAACATAAAAAATAAAAATCATTTTAACCTCTTCTTACCTCAATATCACCGCTGTCAGGATGACGCATTACAAATGCTGACGGCACAACACCCGGTATTTCCTGTTGCGGTATAAACAGCAATGAATGATGGAAGATGGCATTCAATAGAAGACTCATAACCACAACTGGTTTGTATTTACCAAACTTGTCAACAAGAAAACCTAGAAAATTTATATAGAAATAAATAGAGCAGATAGTTAGTTAGTCGGTAGTAAGTAGTTAATGGTATATAGATTTTTCAATACAAATATAAACTATTTTAGCTGTATGTGTGATAAATGCTATTAAACCATTTAGTTTTATGATGTTTCCGGCTCTTTGCAATCGAAAACACTTGTTTGAGTTCAAATAAAAATAATTTAAATATCGCATTTTACAGTTCTAGATCGGTTCTAGTTCAGTTCTAGTTCAGTTCTAGTGCAGTTCTAGTTCAGTTCTAGTTCAGTTCTAGTTCAGTTCTAGTTCAGTTCTAGTTCAGTTCTAGTTCAGTTCTAGTTCAGTTCTAGTTCAGTTCTAGTTCAGTTCTAGTTCAGTTCTAGTTCAGTTCTAGTTCAGTTCTAGTTCAGTTCAGTTCTAGTTCAGTTCTAGTTCAGTTCTAGTTCAGTTCTAGTTCAGTTCTAGTTCAGTTCTAGTTCAGTTCTAGTTCAGTTCTAGTTCAGTTCTAGTTCAGTTCTAGTTCAGTTCTAGTTCAGTTCTAGTTCAGTTCTAGTTCAGTTCTAGTTCAGTTCTAGTTCAGTTCTAGTTCAGTTCTAGTTCAGTTCTAGTTCAGTTCTAGTTCAGTTCTAGTTCAGTTCTAGTTCAGTTCTAGTTCAGTTCTAGTTCAGTTCTAGTTCAGTTCTAGTTCAGTTCTAGTTCAGTTCTAGTTCAGTTCTAGTTCAGTTCTAGTTCAGTTCTAGTTCAGTTCTAGTTCAGTTCTAGTTCAGTTCTAGTTCAGTTCTAGTTCAGTTCTAGTTCAGTTCTAGTTCAGTTCTAGTTCAGTTCTAGTTCAGTTCAAGTTCAGTTCTAGTTCAGTTCTAGTTCAGTTCTAGTTCAGTTCTAGTTCAGTTCTATTTCAGTTCTATTTCAGTTCTAGTTCAGTTCTAGTTCAGTTCTAGTTCAGTTCTAGTTCAGTTCTAGTTCAGTTCTAGTTCAGTTCTAGTTCAGTTCTAGTTCAGTTCTAGTTCAGTTCTAGTTCAGTTCTAGTTCAGTTCTACTTCAGTTCTATTTCAGTTCTAGTTCAGTTCTTGTTCAGTTCAGTTCTAGTTCGCTTCGGTTCCACTTCTTGCCAATTTTGTCCTTCTAGATAATTATATAATACTTATTATTATGTATATTTGCTTACATAAGTAATAATTAGTATTTAATTATACATATAAATATAGTATGCATATGTGTATTTTATATTATTTTTGTTTACACCCACACACTAATATGTATGTATATTCTTTAGTTATGCATATGATTTTGGAAAATCTGTAATAGTATCTCTTATTTTCATATTTAATTTTGCATATTAAACTCAAAATATGTGAATGCACTTTAGACTTTAACACTTTCAGCAAATGTTCTGTTTAAGGAAACGTAGTAGACTTTTCTGCCTTTGTGGTTTATAAAGAGATATTATGCATTGACTGGAGTTTGAAAATGAGTGATAAATGAAAATATAATTTACATTACTTCAATTACTTACTGAGTTAAAAGATATGTATGTTTCTGACATATTCTTGGCTATAACAAAAATAATAAACAATATTTACCCTATTCAAATCTTTCCTAAGTGTTAAACTCTCTAATTACAAATTCATTTTGTATCTTGTTACACATTCTAAAGTGTTACAAGAAGATTTTAATAAAATCAATAATTCTCTTTTATGTGGTTTACTCTATGAATCACATGCAAAATGAAATTCTATTTAGTTAAGAATAAAGGTTGATTGGAAAGCTTTGCAGCATGTTAATTTTATTTCCATAACAGATACATACATACATGTGTGTATGTATATCGCACTTAAATGGCACAATTTTATTGAAAGCAAATTTTAATTAAGTTCACTTTTCATTATTTATTGAAATCTATTATTTTGTCGACAAAATAGACTTATCGACGTAAATATTAGGTACATCAGTCGATTACGATTGATACTGGTCATAGAGGTGAACTAATTACATAAACTAAATAGGTGAATTAATTACAATTTAGTGTGTTAATTAAAATTGTTTGCTTTGAAGTGAGTTTGCGTGTGTGTGTGTGTGAACAGCAGGTGCATATATTCATAGTACATTTAGTACTTAATCAGGCTGGAATGAAAAAAAAAACAGATTATGGTGATTTAAGGATAATTAGATGTTAATGATATGGAAGGGAGTTAAATTTATTTAGTAACATTTCTTGACTCTAATTTTATTTACGACAAAGGTGGGTAAACTATATGTATTTTGAAATCTTGTTTTTGGTTCCAACGATATAGCACATATCGGCCCTGTACAATAAAATGATACGCTGCTTCCCAGACAAGTAACCAACCCACCCATACCAACCAACTATCCTCTACAGCCAGAAAAGGAACCAACAAAAGAGCAACAAATAATAAAACATCTCTTCGGTGAATATTTTATGACAGATATCAAACAACAAAAATAACTGACAGGTAAACACGAAATATGACAGATGTGATGAAAAATACTTTTACAAAAAAAATTTGTACTTTCATATATTCGCATACGTCGTACTTCTCGTAAATAATCATACTTCTTGCAAGTAGATAAGATTAAGGAAAAACAGCAGACGTCTTGGACAGACAATCAGTCAGTCAGCCATGCAGTCAGTTGGAGAGAGAATGATGAAAACATTTTTTTCTGTTTGATTTATTATTCATTGCGGAGTAAGGAAAATATTTAAGACGAGAGTGCGAATTTACTTTTAATTATGTATTTGAATTTATGTTTATTTTAGTAGCTACAGCCATTGCTTTTATTAATTTTTAAGGATCTGGTCATATATATACATTTGTATGTGTGAATATTAGACTGGTTTCATTTTATATCAGCAATATAGTTATATACTTATATATTTCACATTAGGATAGTCTATAGTCTAGTCTATAGACTAGTCTAGTCTAGTCTATAGTCTAGTCTATAGTCTAGTCTATAGTCTAGTCTATAGTCTAGTCTATAGTCTAGTCTATAGTCTAGTCTATAGTCTAGTCTATAGTCTAGTCTATAGTCTAGTCTATAGTCTAGTCTATAGTCTAGTCTATAGTCTAGTCTATAGTCTAGTCTATAGTCTAGTCTATAGTCTAGTCTATAGTCTAGTCTATAGTCTAGTCTATAGTCTAGTCTATAGTCTAGTCTATAGTCTAGTCTATAGTCTAGTCTATAGTCTCTAGTCTATAGTCTAGTCTATAGTCTAGTCTATAGTCTAGTCTATAGTCTAGTCTATAGTCTAGTCTATAGTCTAGTCTATAGTCTAGTCTATAGTCTAGTCTATAGTCTAGTCTATAGTCTAGTCTATAGTCTAGTCTAGTCTAGTCTATAGTCTAGTCTATAGTATAGTCTATAGTCTAGTCTATAGTCTAGTCTATAGTCTAGTCTATAGTCTAGTCTATAGTCTAGTCTATAGTCTAGTCTATAGTCTAGTCTATAGTCTAGTCTATAGTCTAGTCTATAGTCTAGTCTATAGTCTAGTCTAGTCTAGTCTATAGTCTAGTCTATAGTCTAGTGTATAGTCTAGCCTATAGTCTAGTCTATAGTCTAGTCTATAGTCTAGTCTATAGTCTAGTCTATAGTCTAGTCTATAGTCTAGTCTATAGTATAGTCTATAGTCTAGTCTATAGTCTAGTCTATAGTCTAGTCTATAGTATAGTCTATAGTCTAGTCTATAGTATAGTCTATAGTATAGTCTATAGTCTAGTCTATAGTCTAGTCTATAGTATAGGCTATAGTCTAGTCTATAGTCTAGTCTATAGACTACTCTATAGTCTAGTCTATAGTCTAGTCTATAGACTACTCTATAGTCTAGTCTATAGTCCAGTCTATAGACTAGTCTCTAGTCTAGTCTCTAGTCTATAGTCTAGTCTATAGTCCAGTCTATAGACTAGTCTCTAGTCTAGTCTCTAGTCTAGTCTATAGTCTAGTCTATAGTCCAGTCTATAGACTAGTCTCTAGTCTAGTCTCTAGTCTAGTCTATAGTCTAGTCTATAGTCTAGTCTTCTTCTTTCGTTGAAAACATTAAATTACTATAAAATTTTGTGTTAATTCCTTACCCGTAATAGGTGGACTTAAAAATGTCGTAAACGGTAGAGCCAAATAAATAATGGCAATTTCCTCCACCGTTAAGCCAATCGATTGCATGTGTATAGTCAAATAGGGCAGCAATGAAGAAGTGGCTGAAATGAAAATAATAATAAAATAAATATTAAAATAAAATAAACAAAAAACATTTAACACGTTGTTAAAATAAAATACGCACTTAAATATATATACATACGTTTAAACAACTAATTAAACATGCACGTGTCTGTTTAAGCATGAATATAAATTACTAGGATGCTCAGAAAAGACAAAAAAAATGTTTTCGAGGTCAAAACATTTCATACTTGGATGTCTTCAGCATTTAAATGTAAGACCTAGAATTCTCTTTTCAATCTTAATATATAAGTCATGGTATCATATAAAAATGTTGGTAATTTATTGTTTGAAGCAAGCTTCTACAACTAGTGTAGGGCATTGCATATTCAAACATGTCCTTTTATAATCTCTTACTTTTTTGTTATTTTTTCTGTATTTCTCTTTTTTTCTTTGAACTAAATGGCCTTGTAGTGTGATTATATTGTATTTAATTTTATTTTAATATTTTTTTCAACTGCAACGAACAATTTTAACTCATTTGCATAAATGTGTTTGTGAATAATATTTTTCCCCTTTTGTGAAAAAAATAAACAGAAAATTTCACTGTGTGTGGAAAATATTAATATGAATGTATAAATAAACATAGCCTTAAGTATTTTATATTTATTATTAAAAAAAATGTATGAAAATGAATAAAGAATTGTAATAAAATTATTCCCCACTACTTGTTACAAATGTTGTAATGTATAATTATTTTTTAAACTGCTTTTTAATAAAAAGGGTTTTTACAAAAGCGAGGGTCAAGGATTGGACAAATTCTGGCTGGCGCTAATGCACTAATCATAAATAACAAAACAGCAAACTATAATGCAGATTATAATAAAGATTATGAAATGGATTATAGAACTGACTATGGTTCAGACTATAATCCAGACTTTAGTCCACACTATTAAGCTGATCATTGACCGGACTATTGACCCGACTTTTGTCCAGACTATAAACCACATTTAAAACTATTAAGCTGACTACTAACCAGACTTTATTCCAGATTACAGACCAGACTTTATTCCAGACTAGAGAGCAGACTGTAGATCGGACAATAATCCGGAACGTAGACCAGACTATAATCCACAATGTAGTTCAGACTATGATCAAACTATAGTAGTAATATAATAAAACTATAGACCACATAAAACACCCTCACATCTGAGGACTGCTTTTCTACCTATCGGGTTATAACCTACATCTGCATTTAAATGGCAACACTGCACATTCATAATTACTGTTATTATCATGTTGTCATAGCTAATGTCCTCTAACGTTGACATCAACATTGAGAATACAAATATGAGTAATGTTAAAGGGACTATGGACTCGTACTCATAATAATGTGCATAGTTGAATATTGAAGTTGCTAGGTGCCCTTAAGCCTTATTAGAACAAAGTAGTTATATACATTATATAGATATTATTTTATATACATATACATACATATTTTTAAAAACCATCGTCATAAAAGTTGGAGTATGGAGTTGGTCCATAATTGGTCTAACCTACAACATAAGCCCGTTATTTAGTAATTATTTAAAAGTACGATTTTATTTAAACGGAAAATAGCAAACTAACTATTTAACTAACTAACTAACTAACTAACTAACTAACTAACTAACTAACTAACTAACTAACTAACTAACTACTAACTAACTAACTAACTACTAACTAACTAACTAACTAACTAACTAACTAACTAACTAACTAACTAACTAACTAACTAACTAACTAACTAACTACTAACTAACTAACTAACTAACTAACTAACTACTAACTAACTAACTAACTAACTAACTAACTAACTAACTAACTAACTAACTAACTAACTAACTAACTAACTAACTAACTAACTAACTAACTAACTAACTACTAACTAACTAACTAACTAACTAACTAACTAACTAACTAACTAACTAACTAACTAACTAACTACTAACTAACTAACTACTAACTAACTAACTAACTAACTAACTAACTAACTAACTAACTAACTAACTAACTAACTAACTAACTAACTAACTAACTACTAACTAACTAACTAACTAACTAACTAAACTAACTAACTAACTAACTACTAACTAACTAACTAACTAACTAACTAACTAACTAACTAACTAACTACTAACTAACTAACTAACTAACTAACTAACTAACTAACTAACTAACTACTAACTAACTAACTAACTAACTAACTAACTAACTAACTAACTAACTAACCTAACTAACTAACTAACTCTACTAACTAACTAACTAACTAACTAACTAACTAACTAACTAACTAACTAACTAACTAACTAACTAACTAACTAACTAACTAACTAACTAACTAACTAAACTAACTACTACTAACTACTACTAAACTACTAACTAACTACTAACTAACTAACTACTACTAACTAACTAACTACTAACTAACTAACTAACTAACTAACTAACTAACTAACTAACTAACTAACTAACTAACTAACTAACTAACTAACTACTAACTAACTAACTAACTAACTAACTAACTAACTAACTAACTACTAACTAACTAACTAACTAACTAACTAACTAACTACTAACTAACTAACTAACTAACTAACTAACTAACTAACTAACTAACTAACTAACTAACTAACTAACTAACTAACTAACTAACTAACTAACTAACTAACTAACTAACTAACTAACTAACTAACTAACTACTAACTACTAACTAACTAACTAACTACTAACTAACTAACTACTAACTAACTAACTAACTAACTAACTAACTAACTAACTAACTAACTAACTACTAACTAACTAACTAACTAACTAACTAACTAACTAACTACTAACTAACTAACTACTAACTAACTAACTAACTAACTAACTAACTAACTAACTAACTAACTAACTAACTAACTAACTAACTACTACTAACTAACTAACTACTAACTACTAACTAACTACTAACTAACTAACTAACACTAACTAACTAACTAACTAACTAACTAACTAACTAACTAACTACTAACTAACTACTAACTAACTAACTACTAACTAACTAACTACTACTAACTAACTAACTAACTAACTAACTAACTAACTAACTAACTAACTAACTAACTAACTAACTAACTAACTAACTACGAACTAACTAACTACTAACTAACTAACTACCTAACTAACTAACTAACTAACAACTACTAACTAACTAACTAACTAACTAACTAACTAACTAACTACTAAAATTTTTAGATTTCGACTACGAATGGTTGCAATGTTGACAACGCACAGTGGTATAGGAAAAAAAAAAGAGGGAAATAATTCGGTAAACTTCTAAACGGTTAATCCGATTTTAATGGAATTTTGGTATGCACAAGAGGAGGTGTTGTCCGATTTAGTTTTGAATTTGGACCTTATAGGCCAAAACCAGGGGCCCGGGCGGGGGGTCCTCAAATTAGGACACCTCGGCTATGTTAAATTTTTAAAACGATCCTATTTCTTCATTTGAGTTCCGATTTAAAAAAAATTTCGTATATAGAATCTCCTCATCGAGCACTATAAAAAATGTTGTCGTAGCAGTAAATTATCTCTTATAGTTTAGGAGATATTCGCATTTGAATATTAAAATTTTAAAATTTTTACCGTCCTTACTTTAGTTTTTTTGATAATAGCAGGTCCAAATATTTCCGATTTTCGCCATTTTTTTTTATTTGCTTAACAACAAGTTTATATACCAAGCAGTGAAAGAATTATGTAAAAATCATGACTGAGTCCAAAGTTATAGGCATTTAAATTTAAAAAATTAAAAAAAAGGCGATTTTTTGTCATTTTTTTGGGAAAAAAGTATCTTTTTCTTTTTAAGTTATCTAAAAAGTTTCTAAGAAGATGTATATAGAATTTATACTTTTTGGAAAGCTGACTTTACATAAAATACGATAAATGAACAAAACCTAAAAATTTTTGATACCGAGGGGACCAGGTCCATCCAAAAAAACCCTATTTTTATGGAAAATTAAATTTTGAGCAAAAATTCTCAAATCGCATAGTCGATATCAAATTATAGTGACCTGTTTTATATGACCCAATAAGTTCTTAATCATTTTGTAACGGGTTTCGATAACCCCGCCCCTGGTATGGATATAATAGGCAAAAAAACCAAAAATCCCATTTTTGGGATTTTTAAAACTTTTTTGGGAATTCCGGGATTTCTAATAAGAAATTCGAAATTTTTATTTAATTTTGGATTTTGAGTAAAAAAATCTACCTAACTGTAAAATTTCATCAAAAAATATTCATAAATAAAATTTTTATTGCAATTTGAAAAATTTGTATCTTCGCAAAAACTGAATAAAAAACATTTTAAATTTTTTTTAAAAAAAGTATTCCGCGAATTTTTTAATTTTCAAAAATTATATACAGTTTTGAAAAATAGACAAAATTACCTTTCCATTGATATATACATGCCTACCTAATGTTTTTTAAGTGACAAATTAATTAGGGAAAACTCAACATCTTTTAGAAAATTTACCTAGCACTATTATTTTCATCCATATATGTAACAAATTTAAGAGTTAACCTTATGGATGAAAATAATAGTGCTAGGCAAATTTTCTAAAAGATGTTGAGTTTTCCCTAATTAATTTGTCACTTAAAAAAAAGGTAATTTTGTCTATTTTTCAAAACTGTATATAATTTTTGAAAATTAAAAAATTCGCGGAATACTTTTTTAAAAAAAATTAAAAAATGTTTTTTATTCAGTTTTGCGAAGATACAAATTTTTCTAATTGCAATAAAAATTTTATTTATGAATATTTTTTGATGAAATTTTACAGTTAGGTAGATTTTTTACTTAAAATCCAAAATTAAATCAAAATTTCGAATTTTCTTATTAGAAATCCCGGAATTCCCAAAAAAGTTTTAAAAAATCCCAAAAATGGGATTTTTTAGTTTTTGCCTATTATATCCATACCAGGGGCGGGGTTATCGAAACCCGTTACAAAATGATTAAGAACAT